GTGGATTTTAGATTGAGAAACTAGATTAGATCCTCAGCCCCATTTATATTTTCTGCAACTTTGGGAAAACAAATTAGCTTGGGTTTTGGTTTCCTCATCTTTAAAATGGAGCAAACACCTGCCTTATACTTTATGGGCTTGTTCCTAGGAGTAAAAGACAGTGCTTATAAAAGTACTTCGTTGTTATTTACAATTCAACCAAGGTTGATTCTGGAACCTGCGGGCATAGCAGGGCACCTAGATCCATGCAGACTGAAAGTCAAAAATAGACCCGCAATTGCACAGATCCTAGAATAAAAGCATTTCTAACTGTCTACCCAACCTTCCCTTCTCAGAAAATTCTCCCCCGGACCTTTATGTTGAGTTAGTTGTTGAATGTTCCCATGCTCTGATGATTCAGACTTGCTTTCTTTAAAATGCCTCAGAAGTAGTCATGGAATTGGAACTGTTTCCCACAGCCAGGCTCCACAGGTACAAGACAACTGCCAGCCGCCTTTCATTGTAAATCAGCTTGATCCAATTGCGTAGACAGTGACCTACCTACAGGCTGAATATAGGCCAGCAGCAGGAGCTCACACGGGCTCAGGTAAGCCAGCTCACATATTTGAAAAGGGCTAGCTAGGACAAGTCACTTTATACCTAGCACAGTCACCCTTACAGGTTTCTGGACTGTCTACTTGGATGAAGAGAAGAACTTAAGAGATTTTGTAAATGTTTTTTCTTCTTCTTACTCCACACTCTCCTCTGGCTGGTTTCATCTACTCCCAACATTTTCTGGTGTCTTCTAAACCTCTATCCTAACATATATCCTTCATGTGAGGTCTAAGCTACCTCTGTTGACTGCTTCTCTCACTTGGTACCCCACTGGGGTCAAACTCCATAGGTTGTGGGTAGATGCCCTTGCCTACACATCCACACACTAACTTCTCTCTTCCATCTGGTATTTTTTCCCCAGAGATCCGTATCATAGTGAATGACACTTCATCTACCCAACCGTTTAAACAAAGGGATGGTTCTTGACATCTGCCTCCCACAGCTGATCCTCAAGCCATAGAAGTTCTATTCCTAAGTATCTCTGGAGTTCATCT